AAGTCAAAAGGTATAGTTATTTTTTCATATTAATTAATAGTATTATTAATAATACTGTAATTATTGAAATCAAAATCTTCTTATGATTGTCGTTTTCAATTAATTTTAACAATTGTAAAAATTCAAAAACCAGTTACTCTAATAATCAATGCAATCAATTATTGTATCTCAACCAAAATGTCGAAAAGAAGAGATTAAACAACCACATTATAATTGAGTAATAATTTGTTTTGAAAACTATATTAGACAATATAATAAGTTTATTAGTACTTTTTTTTTTATCAATCAAAGCCTCATTTTCTATCGGTGACCTTATATAATCAAATTATTTAATTATCAAAACTACTTTAATTAATTATTTTTTAAAAAAATATAGTATTTTTATAATGAATATTATTACTATTAATTGTTATTAGCAGTTTTGTGACACTATTACTTTTTTTCAGACAAATTTTTCGTGTTGTTACCTTTATTAGAAAGCTAAAGAAACTACAATGAACTAGAAAAGAATAAATAATCTGATGGACTATGACATTTTGAAAACGCAGCAAGAATACCTTAACCATGCGCTGACATTTTTCAGTGGACTCAAGGCGTTAGTAGTAGACAGTGTGACAACTTCAATTGTGAGTCACCTCTTTTCAATGATGGATGTTGCCCAGAAGGAAATCTACATCATCACAAACATAGCCGATAAAACACGAGAACCGCTTTATTATGCGACCGCAATGTGTGTTCTTCATCCGTCAAAGTTCATCATAGACAGACTAGTCGAGGAGCTTAAGGTGCCCAAATACAAACAGTATTACATCTGTGTGTTCTTATCTATTATTTTATAACATTTAATAATAAAAGTATAGATATATATACTAACAAGAAGTCTTCACGTCCCCTATCAATGACGGGATAGTTGAAACTCTAGCAGAGGCGGATGTGCACGAAATTGTTCAAACAGTACAAGAATTGTATATGGATGTGTGCGCAGTAACGCCTTCCGTATACTCTCTGAATACTAGTCCAACCCTCTCCGACCAACTTCTTGTAGACAGAGCCGTTGATGCACTTATCTCGACACTCATCTCGTACAAGGAATTTCCAATTATGTTTGTTATGTTCATTAACTCTTTGAAACGACCGTGGCGCCTTCATATGAACTTACCGACAGACGATATCAACAACATACTTCAAATTTGCCATATAACATTTCACTGAAAATCCATCAGAAGATCCAAGAGTCACTTAAAACACAAGACGGGCTGTTTCCAATGGAAAACACATCAACGACTTTACTCATTCTTCACCGATCATTCGACTGCGCAACACCTCTTTTAATTCAGTGGACATACCAAGCAATGATCAACGAGTTTTTGGGGATCAACAACAATCTGATCGACTTGCCTTCGGGGAAAGTCGAGTTCTCGTACCACAACGATCCGTTTTATCAAGAAGTGCATCAGATGATGTTTGCTGATGTTTCAGAAACGATCCAAGCGAGGGTGAATGCGTTTGTCCAGTCGAAAGACGACAAATTGAATTTTTCGACGATGGAGGATATGCAGAGGGCAATCGACTCGATTCCGGAGTTAACGAAAGAGCGCGAGAATTTGACGAAACACTCGAATGTCTTGTCTACAGCAGTCAAAGTGTATAACTCGAAGAAAGCACTTCAGCTGAGTGCGTTTGAGCAGGAACTTGTTGTGAATAACACACTCAGCACATCACTTGCTGAGTTAAACAAAATTGTGAATGACATGCAAATTCCTTATGAAGATCGATTGAAGGAGGCGGTACTTTTCTCTTATAGATTCCCAGCTAAAGCTGAGGATGTCCGGTCGATGTTACAACTTCAAAAATTCAAGCCAGAAGATATGGCTCTAGTAAAGACTGTTATTACTTATGGAGAGAAGAACCCATTGCCCGTGTTCTCGGAAGAAAAGGGGTTGAAGAGTTTTGTGAAGAAGATCGTGAAAGGATCTGCAGGTATCGAGAGTGTCTATACTCAACATAAACCACTAATTGAAAAGATTGCAATGGGGATGTTATATAATGATGAGAAAATGAAAAAAATATTCCCGTCATTTGGTGACATCCACAAAATCACACAGAATTTAATCATATTCATCGTCGGGGGTGTCTGCCTCGAAGAGTCCGTGTGTATGTCACAGATCAAAAAAACATATAAAGACCAAGGAATGGTCCCTCCAAGAATTCTTATTGGAGGAACTGAAGTCTTGAACTCCCAGAAATTCATTGCAATGCTTAGGCAGAAGAAGTGAATATATGTGTTCTTTGTGTTCACAAGAGTCTATAATATATAATAGTTCTTTTAATAACAAATTAATTATAAACTATAATAATACAGAACTACTATAATATTTCTGTATTATTATTATCATTTCTAAAATAACCTTTTTATAAATAAAAATATAATTATAGTTAAATATGCTATAAATAAATTACCAAAAACTTAGAAAAAGAGATAAATATTATTAATATATTAAAAATGAACCAAAAAACGATAATAATTCTATAATTATTTATTAGTATTTTCATTAGTATATTATTTCTATTTCATTACAACAGTTATATAACATCAAGAAAGTAAAAATACATTTACTTTCTATAATTGAACAAACGAAGAGAGAAAGACAAAAATAACAAAGTCACTCTTAGTCTTCTTTCATTTCAAAAACTTCAAAACCAGACTTTGTGAGGCGTCATGATGGACATGAAAATTGCAAACCGGTACAAGTTAGTGAAGAAACTTGGGAGCGGTTCGTTTGGGGACATCTACATGGGTGTGAACTCGTTCAACGAAGAGGAGGAGGTAGCAATCAAAATGGAGTCGACCAAAGCGCGGTGCCTTCAATTACGGTACGAGTACAACTTGTACAAAGTGCTCATGGAGAATGGGGAGTCTGGGACAAAGGCCACAGGGATACCGTTTGTGAAGTGGTGGGGGATGCAAGATGATTGGAATTTAATGGTGATGGAATTACTTGGTCCTTCTCTAGAAGACTTATTCACATATTGTGAACGCAAATTCACACTCAAAACAACAGTGATGATAGCAGACCAGTGTATTAAAAGAATACAAGAAGTCCACGATAGGCTCTTCATTCACAGAGATATCAAGCCGGACAACTTCGTGATGGGGATGAAGCAGATGTCCAACACGGTGTATGTCATAGACTTTGGTTTGTCCAAGAAGTACAGAGACAACAAGACAATGAAACACATTAAAGATGCAGAGGATAAAGCCTTTATAGGAACAGTACGCTACGCCTCTATTAATAATCACAAAGGTCATGAACAAAGTCGACGAGACGATTTAGAGGCACTTGGGTATATGTTTGTCTACTTCATGAAAGGTAGCTTACCGTGGCAAGGGATTAAAGGCAAAAAAGGTGATAAAAACACTTTAGTTCTTCAAAAGAAGGAGAGCACACCGTTGGGTGAATTGTGTGAAGGGCTTCCCGAGGAATTTTCGATCTATTTAGACACGTGTAAAAAGCTTGGTTTTGACCAAACGCCCGACTATCTTCAACTTCGGATGCTCTTCTGGAAAATTGCGAAACGAGAAGGAATACAGTTCGATGGACAATTTGATTGGTTCAATTATAAAGGGCGGAAAAAAGACGAGCAACCTTCAGACTTCTGTTTAAAGGGACACAACAGTGTCACCAGTCGAAGCAAAAGTGGAAGTGTATCTGTATAACAAATGGTAATTTTTATAATTACTTTATAATATTTTTATAATTACTTTATAATTACAATTAGTAAGTATTATAATTATAATTACTTTTATAATAACAACTAGTAATTATCAAACTCAGTGTGTTTTCCTTGTTTCAAAATGAATGAATAAACGAATTTTACAATTAAAACATTAGAAGACCCCATCGAGAGGTCTTCTACAAGTCGGGCAATCCATTTTGTAATCATTCCAACTCGATAAGCACTCTGTATGAAAAACATGGTCACACGGTGTTACAACTATCTCGGCACACCCTTCTTCCATGTGAGTGTTGTCAATGTTCATCATACAAATCAAACACTCCAAGTCTCCTCGCATCTTCACGATATCACTCCAACCTCTGTGATAATTGTAATCTTCACTCACCAAAAATCGGTGAATGAACTTCGGAAGAATGCAACGCGCGCCAAACCTCTTCTGAGCCACTACCATAACGATCTGGAGTAATACGATAAGAAGTAAATAACCAATTAACGTGGCGTCGACACGGTAGTTCATAAAATTGTATGGAAATGCAAACCAATACAAAACAAGAGCAAAGCGTGGGAGAGTCGTTGAGGCCATGTATCGAACCGTCACCACACTCGAGTTATTTGAAACAAAGTTCTGATAGATCTGTGGAATCCACAGCGAGAAGCACACAAAGAGGAAGTAGTGTATAGAAAACACTGAGAGAATGAATAACACAAATAATGTGGCATATAAGCGCAAGTAGAGGAGCATCGCCGAGCGTTGAGAAACACTCCCATATTGTGATTTCCAAATGTTGAATATAAATTTCACATCAAATACACTGAAGATCATGAAAAAGAGGAATGAAAGTAATATAGAAAGTCTGAACGCTACAGCTACAAGTTAATTACATAGTTAATTACATAATTATTAAAAAATTAATTACATGATGATTCAGGAGTGTTATGTAACAAATGGTAGAACAAACATCCCGTAGTAAACAATGAAGCTAAATAGACGTGGATATGACATATAAACGCATCTGATGTTGCCATGAGTACAATGGTGTTATACGACGACCGTTTCAAGCTACTTTCCGTCTTAGTTAAATCCATCTGACTCACCAACGAGAAACTTTGTATCAGTGCCAAAGCAAGAACCAACCCCAGATATGGCAATGCTAAACCCTCAAGTTTCTGCTTGTTCAAAGCGTGCAACGTGAATTCCAATAGTTTGCCATCAATTGTAACGTTTCCAGTCAACGTGAAATTCTCTGTAAGAGTGTTTGGGAGTTGCACAAAGATCTTTGGTAAGTGCTCCAAGTGTGTCATGTTGAAAAACATTGCACTGCGGCGTAACACTCTGACGGGGATTTGTGTAAGAAGCTTTGAAGCCAAAAATCCGTCGAAATTGACAAACGTCATATTCTGGTTCACCGATGCGTAGAAGAAGGAGGTGAAGTCGACCACTTCGTCTTGCCCAAAATTTCCATCAGTCATTTGGATATGACATTCAAATATAGTAACGTTGTCTGTGTTATTCAAAACACGTGGAGAGTACACGCGAAGCATCCCGCTCTTCTGCTGGAGGAACGAGAAATGGGTGTGCGACTTCCATTCTCCAGCTAAAGGGAAAGTCACCTCATTGTTCTTTGTTAACTCTTCCAGGGGAGTCAGTTTTTGTATGGCAGTCACCTGTTCTTTGGATGACGACACACAGAAAAATAGGAAAAAAGTCATTAGAAACAACTTTCCCATGGTGATCACGTTTGATTTTGTCGATGCCTTTCGCGATTTTTGCATTTTTTGTTTGGACTAATAGAACGGGAAATAACTCTATCAGTTCGGTGATCTCCCGATGTGTATGTTAATTAAAACAACTTTGATGCGAAAAAATCAAATCAAAGTCTGTTTTCTTTAATTGTTTTTACTTTTATAATAATTTTAGTATTATCTTGGTATAGTTTAATTCCTGACAGGAAAAAAGATACACTTTATTACAAAAAAAAAGCTCCTTTGTTCTTAGTGCATTATTTTATTATCTGTTTTTTAAAATAAAGTTAATATTAATTACATAAATATAATATTTTTATTAATAAAAATTAATATAATTACTTTTATTTTTTAAGTACAATTAAATCTGAATTTTGGTACAAAAAAAACAAATAATAATTTCTGTATTTTGGAACAGTTTGTGTTGTTTTAAATATAGAATAAAAAAACATATTATAATTTAAATTTATACTTTAATACGATATTTATAATTAGTTACAAAAGTTATTAGTGAACCATAAAAAACAATTCTAAACTAATATTTTGAAATTTTTATTTAGTAGTTTATTATTTAATAATTGAATAACTAAAATAACTAACATTTACCAAAAAAATTATAGTTTATTCAAATTATAAACTTTAAAAATTATAAAAAACAATAAAGCTATATTACTAATTAAACAATAATTGTTTAAACTATTAAAATGTGAATAGAAATACAAATCAATAAGAAACACCTTTGAACACATAAAGCTTCCCTTTCTTACTGCCCACTGCAACAACACCTTTATTAAACGCAACTGCACTGACCTCCACTTGATTCCCACAATTGAGTTGAGCTCTAGTCTTCCCGTTGACATCGACGATAGACACCACCCCACCCTCAAGTCCACACACAATCAACTTGTCTCTTGTGTCGATTGCATTTGTCTTTTGTTGGAGTGTAGTGTATGCCTTAGATATATTTCGTGTGTCCCAAAACGACACTGTCTTTTCGTTAGCGACTGTAGCGAAGTGGAAGTCGTCGAACGTTTCCAACAAAGTGATTCCCGATTTGTGTGGTCTAAATTTTGCAATTGGATCGGTTTGCCGGGTATCCCAGATGTGAACGGTCCTGTCTGCTGATCCGCTGATATAAATCTCTTCACCAAGTGGCCGTGTCACAGTGACTTTTCTTACATGACCGTTATATGTGTATTTCACTACTCGTCTTAAATCGATATATTCCATCACATCGACTCTCTCATTCCACACAAGAAACTCCGTGTTACGTAAAGGATAAAACCCTTCAAGTTTTCCTTCTGGTACATCGAATATGAGGGACTTCTTAGGTGATAATCGATCAATGTATTTAACAGTACCACACTTGTAGGCAACTGCTATTGCGCCGTCCACAAATTTTGTTGTCACTAAACTCGAGTTGGGGCCGATGAACACTTCGGAGTCTTCACTACTACTCCACACTCGTATCTTTCGATCGGAAGACCCAGTCACTATCAGACCAGTACTATCAACATCAACACATCGGATAATATTGGTGTGACCAACATACACATCAGCCTTCACTCCATCAGGGGCGGTGACATCTTCAGACCCATGTTGTGCTATGTGCCGTTCACTCACTATCTTCCACTCAGTACTTCCTTCATTGTTTTCACACATTTTAACAACATCGCCCTCCCCTATAGTTCGAGTGGTCATACAATGCCCTATCCCACCTACTTCAAGTCTTTTGAGTGATGCCATTAATCGTTCTTCACTTGAAGACGACTCTTTGGAACATAAAGCAGTCGTGAGAAGCCTTCTTATGTGTTTATTTGTAGCTTTCAACGCTGCAACGTCTTGTGGAGGGAGGAGGGATCCAATCTTTTTAAGAGTCTGTACAGGGAGTTGTGGGAAGAAGGAGTTGTCGTCGAACTTTTGGTGTTGAATGTTAAAGACAAGACTGTGATTCTTTGGGACATAACCTCTTCCCCGTTTCAAGGGAGCCTTTTCCATTCGCACAGACATCTCAACTAACACTTTCATCGTTTCTTTCATGTCTTCTGTGCCGATTTCTTTCACTACAATGTCATATGAATATTGCACACTAATGCCTTTGCCTTCTGAGCTAAAAAACACAAAAGCACGACGGAAGAAGAAGACTCTGTTGTTCTCCGACTCGAGTGAATGGGCAAACCGACACGTTGGGCTGTGAATTGAACTGAAGTGAAAGAGTGCACAGACGGGCGCGTACATCCACGAAGACACTTTTAAATGGTCGGAAGATATAGTCTTGTACCCCTCTTTGTGAACTACTATACTCCCATCCTCAAGAGATTCAACTATTTTACATCGTTCACCAAAAACTATCCCTAACAACTCCTCCCGTGTAAACGCACTTGTGTCATCTCTTGTGAACGATCCATGTACAACATATGTAGATTCACTTTTGGAACGCATCACTAGAGACACACGAAGTGGGACGGTGTCATATACTAATGTGCCAGCTAACGTTCTGTAAGGTAACACAGCCTCATACCCATTACGTTCAAGCGCTATAGATGGTGGGATGTCCTCGACATGTATACTTTTCAAATCAATGACGGCTTGAATCATTCGAGCCATCAACATTAAGTGTCTGTCCATTGCTACGGAGGAATCATTCCCATGATACCAAGGCACTGTCACGACATTTACTATGTATTTTAATAAGAAAGAATTTTCATTGAGAGGCTCCACTATGGCGGAGTACACGAGAAACCCGTTGTCGCGAAACGGGATCACTTGAGAACTTTCTGTTGCCACACTGTAATCTATAAATACTTTCTTTTCTCCAACCTCTTCGTATATCATTCGGGAACATATCGCGCA